ACATTACCAAAAAATATGTAAGAGATCTATTTCATTCTCCCTTCCTTCTTTTTTCCTGCTTTAGTTTTATAACATTAATCAGGTAGCACTATTCTGGGTTCTGTTAGAAGATATTTAAAGACAATTGATATGCATAAACATGTACATCATAATCCGGGCATAGTGGTATTCGCCTGTATCCTAGCACTCTGGGAGGCTGAGTTAGGAGGATCGCAAGTTTGAGCCCAGCTTGGCCAATTTAACAACTTACTGAGGCTCTGTCTCAAAGATAAATAAATAAACAAATAAATAGGAACCTTGTTGGTCATCTAGTAAGACCTGGCTGGAGAGTGACCTCAGCAGATTCTAGATGTTTCTAAGTGTTGGGATCTGACTTCCCCCGTGCTTCACCCAGACGTGGCTTCTCAGTGTGTTCAGCAAGAAGGCAGGTGCTCTTCCTTGCCAGCTAGGTGTTTGTCTCCCCAGCCTCCCCACCTCTTCTTTCTGAGCCATCCAAATTCTTTTTTTTTTTAAGAGTAGGAAAAATTTATTGGGAGAAAGAAAGCTTCTGCCTAAGAGAGACAGAAGGGGGACCGGAAAGTGGGTTGCCCATGGAAAGGGTTGCCGAAGAAGGGGGCAATATAAGCTTCCAGCTCAGCCCATGCAGTTGCTGGTCTCCATTCTGTGAGTCAGCCCGGCAGGCTGCAGACTGCAGCCCCAATAAAGCTTATATAGGGATCTTGCAGATGAGAGAGCACTAGTCCATTGGTGGGGGTGGGTGATTGGAGCTGGGGTATGTAGCAACAGGTTTGGGGAGGGTGGAGTCACCACTTTAGGGAAGCCCCTATCTTACTGGAACATCTGACCATGAAACCGGTGGGGCAGAAAGACCTTAATGAGGCAGAGAGTCACTAACAAAGGGAGGTCAAGCCTTAGTTATGTGGAAGTTCCCTGTTCCCTGTGGCCAGAGTGGGGCAAGGGGAAAGGAGAGGAGGGAGCTTGCTCTGTGGAGGCTCTGAAATACCTAACACCCACTCACCCCACTTCTCAAAAGTGTTTTATACAACAAAGCCATGTGGTGAGGTGGGTACAAAGTGGGACAAAACTATAGGACCCAATGGAAATTTACAAGGTGGGCGTGAGGTGGAGCAAAACCATGAACAACCAATAAGATTACAAGTACAGTCACCCAGGTAATATTGATTAAATGCGGGTCAAATGGGGAAGCAAGTCAGGTAGCAAGTGTACAAGGGTTTTCAGTAAGGGTGGGTCAGGGATATCTCCTGCAGAGGCTGGGTGAAGACCTTGGCCCCCACCCAGGTGATTGACACCTGTTTAGAATATCAGTCACTGCTATTCATCCTGATGGGTGTGGTAGTTTCTCTCCCATTACAATGCTGGCCTTCAGTGAATGTGTCTTCACTGCCCTCCATGTTGGCTCCTTGTGGGCTGGCCCTGTCTAACTGCCTACAAGATATCTAATTAATTTAACTATCTGCAATATCCTCCCTCTGAAGAAGTATCCTAACTGCTGTGAGGGGGGACAGGGCAAAGACCAGTCTGGCTACTTCCTGCCAGGACACATATGACTCCCCTGGGAATCACATGGTAGTGGCAGTGTTCTGATTTTTTGGCCTATAGGAATGGCTGCTTTATGTAGTTCAAGCAAATAACTATTCAATAGATACAGCTTCTTTTCTTTCTTAAGTCTAGGAAGGCAACTGATTTTAGTCTACTTGTGCTTTACAAGTAGCAGAAATCCCTGAGGCAAATAAACAGAAATAGACTCTTCTTTTAGTCTAAGGCAAAGGAAAGGCAAATAAACAGAAATAGACTCTTTTAGTGTAAGGCAAAGGGACAAAAAATAGAAAATAAAACTGCATTGAAGTATCTAGGCATGTTTATAGAGTAGCAGAAGTTATAATATTTATCATTTTATTAAGCTATTCTCCCTCTCCACCCCTTTCCCAATGTGCATTCTCACTGAGTGATTCTCTGTGCCTCAGATTATTCATGCTGTCAGTTGTCTTGGTTCATCTCCCTCCTGTCTCACCGCAGTGTCTTCAACAACACTTCCAGCAGCTGCCTGTCTTCTTAGCATTATACCAACTCTGTCTTCCTGCAAAGTTCTCTCATCCCAACCTTGTCATGCTGATAAACCACTTCTCAAAGACTTCGCTGAGACATGATCTTTTCTGTGTTCCCGGAAAAAATGTCTAACATCATTCTCTGTATTTCCACAGTGCCTTATATTTAAAACACTCAGATTACATGATAGATTAATTTATCATCCAGACTAAGGTGATTAGGGTGAAGTGTCAACTTGACTGACTTTGAGATCCAACTGAGGATTGGTGGAGCACGGTTTGGGGTATGTCTGAGTGGGTCACCGAGGTGTGACCTTGGGTACTCTATGTGGTTCTTGGCTCCTTCCTCTTGGGTGCTGTTCCCTTGCTCTACTTCTTGGCCACGAAGAGCTAAGCAAGCTAAGCATCTTTTCTGCCACAACCTTTCTCATGATGTCCCTGCCTTGGAGCCAGCTGACCATGGACTGAATCCCCTAAAACCATGAGCTAAATTAAAGCCCTTCTCATTTAAATTAGAGGTTTTGTACATTATGTCCAGCGACAGGAAAACTAATACATACACTTTTAAGAGTGAAAAAGGACTTATGCCAGGACAACAGACAAAATTCAGGACTCCCCGAGGGAAAGCAGATGTATGGTCACTCAATTTATCCTTATATTGCTGTCATGATTGTTTACTTACCTGTCATCACCTCCCCCAGCAAACATATACTCACAGTGAGTGAGTCCCAGGAAGGTGAAGGCTGTAGTATCTAGTATAATGTGTGACACATAGTAAGCAGTCAATCGATCACTTAATAGGTTAAATCATGGGAATTTCACTGGAGTGGAATGTCTCAGGCTGGCATTCTAGACATTGCATAGGGGAGAGAGAAAGGGGGCAGGGGACAGCAAATAAACACTTGTAGGTGGTATAGATGTTTGGGGATTGGAACATAATTTCAAAAAGGTAGTGGAATTTATCATTAGGCTAAGGAATTTTTAATAAAGCGAAGTAATGGACAGGCTTAAGCATAAGGATGACATGAAGGATAACTGATCATTGTATGTAATTTGAATTGGAGAAGGTAGAGAGAATTGCAGAGAGTATCTGGATAAAAAAGATGCAATTATGAGCTCCTGAATTAGAAATTCTTCTACTTTACATTTTACACTTGTTCATAGATTACAAAATGCAAGTGAGAGAAATCCAAATTAGCATGGTTTAACCAAAAAGGGAAATTTATCAGCTCAGCTAACTGAAATCAGTAGGCAGGGTTGATTCCTCATTTCATGTCATCTCATCAGCAATCTTCTCTCCATCTCTTGGTTCTGCTTCTTACTGTATCAGATCTATTCTTAGTCAAGTTGTTTCCAAAATGCCATCAGCAACTTCCAGCCTACTTTCTACCAGCTCAGCAAACTTAGTAAAAAGAGAACACTGCTCTATCAATTATTCTAGCAAAACTCCCAAAGGAGGTTCTCCATGGTTTCCTGTCCATCCTGGAATGGATCATGATGAGGGGAGGTGTCAGGCTGTAATACACCATGCCCTGGTTGTGTGCACACCTTAAGTAATGAAGTCAGCCCAAACTGAATAACCTGGAGGGGGTGGTGTAGGTAGAGCAGGAAAGAATAGAGTAGCCACAAGGGAGGTGCATGGGGTCTGAGTAGCTGAAGGAAAATAACGTGTTTGAAATAACTATTAGGAACCAAAACTAATAAGTGCCTTCTTGCATAAAATCTTTGGTGCAAATTTTTAGCTTTTAGATAATCCTGAGCTCCTCTACATCATTAAAATCAAATTGCGGAAATAAAATTATTGAGAAGAAACATAAAGCTGATGGGCTTCCAAGTGCACAAGAACAAACAAATGTACTCCTTCCATGACTCTGGGTTGTCTTTATACAAGATATTTAAAATACACGATATGAATTGATCTAATTAATTCAATAAATATTTTTTGCTTATTATGATGATGCTTATTATACAAACAAAATAGCAATTATTATTTTACCTTTTAATCCATCCTATAGATGCAATAGTGTAGGAACTTCTGAATATTGACTTTTTTTTTTTTACTTAAATTCTTTTATTGGTACATTTTAGGTATACAACACAATTACATTTCTCATTGGAAACTGGTACCTTTACATGATGCATCTTGGTTCTTATTTTTTTCCCATTCCTAGCCCTCCCTTCACCCCTCCACCCTTCCCTATTTACAAAGACTTTATTTCCATTTTTTCCATTTTTCAGCATTTTTCCTTTTCCTTCTTTCCTTTCCCCTGCCCCTCCCACTACCTCTACACCTTTGGACCTTTTCTTCCTATTTTGCATTATTGATTATTGACTTTTAAAGAAGCCACAGTGGAGCCAGAAAAGGGCTGAAAAGGGTAACTAAAATAGCCCTAGTTTTGTAAAATTCCTTATATTGATTTATCAGGGAACCAGTTGAGAGAGAAATCTCTTCATCCTATAATGATAGTGTGAATGAGTTTGAGAAACAATCATAAATGTTTTTGCAGAATTGATAGCATAATTATGAGAACACTGTAAATGTTATTTTTCTCATGACACAATTTTAGTTTTCTGAATTTTTAAAAACAATCTCTAGAATAAATGTTTATAATATTTAAAAAAACAAATATACAAACAAATAAAAAGTTTTTCTTAAGAGAAAAAAGAATCCTGCCATGCAAAGAAACTAGCATTGCCCTTTGAAGTGATATTACTGTGGTCTTTCTCACATTTTTTATTTTACTCTTTTATAAATATGTCTGGGTTCTCAGAATAAATAATGAGTTAGATGGACAATTCATTTGAAAGAATGTGATATTTCTCTTATTATGCAAACATTAGTCTAATACATTTCACAGCATTATACTACTAGGGTAAGCTATTAGAGTGCAATCATGTTCACTAATGCCTATCTTACTAAATCATTTTTTTAAGAACAAATTTCTGACACAGAAAATAAGCTGACCCAAGGATCCAGCCTGATAGAAGCCATCTTTACAGTACTGTACCATTGTAATTATTCTCCAGAAATATTTGGAAATGTTTTTGTGAGTTACATGGAAGAAGAACAATTATGGGACTTCTTATATAACATTCCAGGTAAGAGAGATTTACTATTTATAAGTGAAGTGCTTTATAGATACTTAAAATACTTTTAAAGATGTTTTAAAACTTTTATTGATACTGGGTTTGCTGAATCTGTTGTTTGTAATAGTTTACCATACCTTTTCATTGCAAAAGTTTCTATTGTAAACCATTAACCATTAGTTTCTGTCAAACTTAATATACTTGGAGTAAATTCCAACTTCCTTGAAGGAAGTTAAGGAGAAAAATTATGTAATGCAGATTTTTTTTTTAACTTTTAGGAAGTGTTCTATCACAAAAATTTAATTTTAATTAAATTTTTACATTACATTATGTTTTTCTTTTTAACATATGTTACAAAGATGTGAAAAATATTTTGTGATTCTTTGGCACATTTATTTAACAAACTGATGGAATAAACTGTTGGTCATTTTTTTTGATATATAGTGCATTTATTATTTGACCATAGTAACTTTTTGTTCAAGACAAGCATATTCTATGATTCCTTTGGAGGCAGTATGATTTCTCCATCTGTATGGTTCTTCAGCTTTCAGCAACAGAGGATGTGGAGAACCAAGGCAGTTTGTACGTCTGAGCAAGAGGTGCTGATGGGGCACCCCACGGTCAGGCCAGGCAAAGGTTTTCACATTATAATCCCATGCTATGTCTATATTTATTATCTTGAAAAAACAAAGGATGAGAACCTGGGCATCATTATCATTACCCTGTTGTTCTATTAGTCATTTACATGATTTACATCTGGCTTTCAACCTATGTTTCCTTATACGCACTCTGCTTTGGAGCCAGCATTTTCATAAAATATTTCCTAGGGTCTCTGCAGAAGATCTGTCTGGGAAAGAATCATAGCTTCATTCCTCCTGGACTTTTCTGACTGTCCTCCAGATAATACTTGAATATCATTTTAGTTGTTTTAAAGTCATTATGTTTCATCTTCCCTTGATCATTATCCCTGCAAAAAGGAATAGATAACTTTTGATAGTGGTTTCTAAAATCTGAATCTATCAGGTAAAAATCTTATAGCAGTGATCCCCTTTAAAGTTTTATCTCCTGGCTTCCAGGCATTACCTCACTGCTTCTGTTTACCCAAAAGAAGGGAAGAGTTCTAAGTATGAAGACTGAATTAGAAGCTTGTTTCTCTGGGGCCCAAGATTTAGCTCAGTGGTACCATGCCTGCTTCGCAAGCACAAGGTCCTGAGTTTGATCCCCGGGACCAAAAAAAAAAATCTTGTGCTTCTGACTTGGTCTTTATTGAACTGAAAGAAAACCAGTCTTAAAACCAATCTTGAACACCCTAAGCTGTGTTTAGTTTTTTTCTTAGGGGAGTAATAATTGTTTTGTCTTACAAGATTATAAGGAATCAGTAAACTTCATGCTTCAACCACTTTATCTTTCAACTATTAAGTTCTTGAATGACTTTTTACACTCACTACAAAACTACCACAAATGACCTAGAAGATATCAGTGGATTTGAGGTCCTGGCAAGTGAAAGTAAAACTGTGCCTGTTCCTAATATATCTTCTCTTTCTCTATGCTTTGAGCAAATTCTCTTCTAGGAAACCAGATAGATCTCTAGAAATAGGTTTTACCCAAATTCATATAGCCCAAAATGTGTGGAGAGGCCATGAAGGGCAGAACTTCCTTGGACTTTGTGCAAGTCGTTTCTCCATGAGCATTAATATAAAATACGCTCTATATGCTGAATATTCTCTGGAGCCCGAGACCTTCATGGTCATGAGGGACTGTACCTTTGTCTTTTCTCTGACAAAAGTTTCAAAAGCTTTCCTTTTCTTCTGTTACCAATCATGGTTATTTTTAAAGAGCACGAATAAAATAACATAATGTGCTACTTTATAACAAAATCAACCCTTTTATTATGACTTCTGTTTTATTTGAAACTAGAAGATGTTAAAAGGAAATACAGCTGAGACACATAATCATAATCCTGCAATATTTGCATTTTAACACTCATAGACCCATGTGTTAGTAAATATAATTGACTTACCCAGACAACTGTAATACTATGCTTAAAAACATCACTGGTGTATTTTCCTCCCACTGAAACACTGTCAAAGAATTCAGCATAGCTTACAGAACATCATGGTGAAATCATTTTAGAATGGAAAGGCTGAGATGAAGTAGCCAGTACTCTCATCTTATTCCTGAGGAAACAAAGGCAGGAGACTTTTAGGTAGTCCACCAATTAGGTTGGACAGAACCAGAGCAAGAATCCAGATCTTCTAACTCATTTCTCTTTAATGTTTTTCTACTAGACTAAATATTTTAAGGCATTTGCTTTATGAACATGAGTTTCGCAGTGAAATCTACAATGATTTTATAATTAGAAATCCAACACGTTAACTCTTTAGAATGAACATGAGCTAGGGAAGGAGAGCAAAAATGATAATATCTATTTTAAAAGGTGATAAAAGACAGAAATACAAAAATAATTGTCAAGGACCTAATATGGACATTGAAAAGCCAATAAAAAATAGATTTGGTGGCAGTCACTGCAGGACTATGTCTCCAAAGTAGACCAAATAGTCTTCAGTTGGGCAAATGAAAATTTCAAAGCAGAATCACTAAGCTAGTTTTTATAATAGTGCTCCAAACAGGCTTGTAAATGAGGAAAATATTGTCCAAAATGCCGTGTGTGGTGTTATTATAACATACTCAGTGAGTATTGTTCACTTGTCTCCTCACTACGTCATTGGCCTTACTTTTGTTTTCTGGGTCAGTTTTCTTAACTTTCTTAACTGCCTCTGGGAAGAAAGATTTCAATGATTTAACCAAACCTTCCAATTAAACTTTGAGATCCAAAGTTTTGCTTTTGTTCACTATTCATTTTCCTCAGCCTCATAAAAACCTCTATGAAGGACTATTTAGAATGCATATAGATGTGGAATTGTTTCCCTGTTGCTAAAATTAGTTTATAGCATTACCTTTGTATTAGGCACAGCAATTTTCTCTGTTACCTACATATATACCTGCACCACAGTGTGGGTAGGTATGACATGTATATTTTTTAAAAAGATCATTTTTGCTACACAATGGAATCATTTATTCAAACACTTTTATTTGGTCATCCATCCAATGCCTGTATTTGTAATCTACTTTTACAATACTTTATTTAGATATAATTTATATAAATAAAATTTATTCATTTCCAATGAAGAATTCAATACATTTGACCAATATATAAACCCGTGTGACAACCACCACAATAAAGGTATAGAACATTCCTATCACCTCCAAAGGTCCGTTCATCCCACTTTGTAGTCAATTCTTTCAACTCCCAATCCTAGCAAGATCCTGATAGTGCTTAGTACTATGGTAGGTTACTTTTTGACTATCCTAGAATTTCATATAAGCAGGAATCGATATATCTTTTGTGTCACACCTCTTTTGTTTATATTATGCTTTATCAATAGTTCATTTTTTTCCCTATGCTGACTAGTATCACTGAGTAGTATTCTCTATTTTATCCATTCACCACTACTGAACTATTTTACAAAAAAGACGTATCTTTTTACATTGCCACCAATAATGTATGAGAATTTTGTTCGCTTCATGTCCTTGCCAATATTAGGAACTGTCTTTTTAGTTTTGATCAGTTCAGATTGTATCTAATGATAGTTTTATTTCATATTTCCTTCATGATTCACAATAGCAAATACTTCTTCGTGTTCTTTTTGGGTTTTTTTTTTTTGGTACCGGGGATCGAACTTGGGTCCTTGTGCTTGCGCAGCAGGCGGCAAAGCCACTGAGCTACATCCCCAGCCCTCTTCGTGTTCTTAATGGCCATTTAAAAGTATTCTTTTGTAGTGCATCTGTTCAAAATTTTCCCTTTATTAATTGAGTTGTCTCATTCAGTTGTTAAATGGTTCTTTATATATTCTGGGTGTAAGTTCTTTTTCAGATACATGCATCAGTAAGTTTTTTCCCAGTCTATGGCCCATCTTAGTAAAGTCTTGTGCTAGGGAGATGCTTACTGTACCCTTGCCTTCCTACTTACTAGGTGGTCCATCATTTTCTATCTGGATCATGAGTTCCCTTGCCTTAGAAAAAATATAAGAGTCAAATCCTGTCCAGATTTCAATTTCTTATTTCTATCATCTAAAATTTTGAAGTACCAAATAAACTTTATTTTTCTCTTTTTTTTTTTTTTTTTTGGTACCTGGGATCGAACTTGGGACCTTGCGCTTGTGAGGCCGGCGCCGGAACCACTG